CCATGCACCAGGGCTGTGAGCCTGCACAGCCAAGGTGTTAACGACTGTTTGACCATCAGTGGCAATGGGTGGACTGGATCACCTGGCCTGTACCATCAGAGAGCTTACCTGCCTGTGTCACCAAGTGACTCCCCTGGTGTGGGGACACTAACTTCCCACTGTTGCTGGGGGAGGGGGGAATGTTAGAGGGAAAAGTTCAGAAGATGATATTTTCAAACATATCAAAGGGGGCAAGACATGCTCCCTTTCTTACCTGTGTGGTGTGCTTCATCCTGACACCCACACAGATTTTCAACGGCATGTTGGGGTTCTAAGATAAAAAGTGTTTGCAGTGTGCTTAAGTTTCCCTCTGTGTTCTGAGGCCAGCTGTTTGCTGTGAAGTATGTTTTCTGCATAGTTTCCTATCATCAGAAATGACTCTTGGAGCTCCAAATGCGCACAACATGGGAGTCAGAGACACATAGCTCCATGCTGTGTGCCTTATCATCTGTGGAGTCACTTCTCTTTGTAGGGTTTATATACTGGTGGTGATGTGCTGTCACTGGGTGCTGCGTTACACCATATCCTATGTAATGTTGAGGCCAGGAAGCAGGATGGCTTTCCCCCCATTCATCCTGCCAGACTATTTGCACCAGGGCTGGTATAAACTGTTATTATTGGTATAAACTGTTATAATTGCCACAGAGGCTTCTAAGCAGTTTACAAATATAAAAGCGATTACAAAAATAGAAACATTCAATTTAAAAACACAATAAAAGAATTCCATCAGAACATTAAAATAAACACCCACAGTTAAAATGTACAATAAAACAAGCCAATTAGAACAGCACAACAATTAGGACCAGTTGAAACAGCAATAAAAGAAAGAGGCTCAGATCAGTGGATGCTTATCTAAACAGGTATGTCTTCAAGAGCTGGCCGAATGCCTATACTGAGGTACCTTTTAGAATAGAGAGAATTTCACAACATAGGTGAAAAAGTCCTCCGCTGTGTTACCACAAGCCAATAACCAACAGCCTATGGCAAAATTAACAAGTTCCATTAGTGCCCTTACCAAGCAATGGAGGGAAAGTCCAGGTCTTTCAGGTAGCCTGGCTCAAGGCTGTTTAGGGCTTTATATGGAAGTAGCAGAACCTTAAAGCTGGATAGGTAGTTAAGCAGCAGCTATGCAGATCTGATTGCACTGGGATGTTATGTGCTTGCAAAGAGGCACCTCTGACCATCTAAGCTGCAGCATTCTGGACATCTGACGATAAGATTGAAGATAAATAGGATACAATGAAAATGTTCCATCCTTGTACCACCCATGTTCTACCTATAATTCCATCCTGTTTTAGCTGTTCAGCCTGTGAATCATTCATGCTAGTGGTATATCTCAAGTTCTGCCAGCACTGCAGGGCTTTCACAAATTCTGTTTTTCTGTTTGCCAGTGTACTTTCAGTATAGGTTGTGCCCATAATACTGTTATAAAACCATTATAAAGCCTCATAATTCTTATAGTCTACAGACTGCTTCTTAAAAGAAGAGAATGAACAATTCTTTGAGAGACAAAGGATCAAATTCAGGATGAAGAGATCAAACTTTTATCTGCCTGGAATAATTTTATTTATGGGTGAATTTTTAAAAAAAATACATTTTAATGCAGCTTTTCTTTAAGTGAAGAACCAAGATGTCCTACAAAAATTAAAACAATCTAGAATGCTCCCAACCATACATAAGATACAGAAGCAGTATAATAAATGAAAACAGACCATATAAAAATCCTATCTCATGATCCTTCATATTACGCCAGTCAATTTTGTGCAGAGAAAGGAGACCAAGGTGATAAAGGGTCTGGAAACAGTTGATGGCAGTGAATATGTTTAGCCTGGAGAAGACAGGACTGAGAGGTGACACAAGAGCTATCTTCAAATATCTGAAGCAATGTCGCATAGGAGATGGAACAAGCTCACTTTCTACTGCTCCAGAGGGGAGCAACCAAACCAAGGGATTCAAATTACCAGAAAGATTAACTTTCTGATGGTAAAAGTTGTTTGACAATGGAATGGACTACCTCAAAAGGTGGTGGACTCTCCTTCACTTGATTTTTTTTTTTTGCAAAAAAATTTTATTTCCAATATACACTCTTTTAAAATCACATACTTACCGAACAAAACAAAAAAACACACAAAAAAAAACACTCAGAACAGTAAACAATATAAACAATAATACATCAAAACGTGAAAACATTTATCCAAAAGTACTAGTTGTCATATCGTCGTTCTGACTTCCCTCCACCACGATTTAAGCTATATCACATTAATAACCATCTTGCAGTTCCTTCTTTCAACCTTTGTCTTTACTTCACAGATTCTATAGTTCACCTACTGTTATTTTAATGTTGCCTAAATTTTTTTCTATGTAAGATATAAATTTATTCCAATCATTAATAAAAATTTTATTACTCTGATGCCTGATCTTCTGTGTCATTATTGCTAACTCTGAGTACTCAAATAGCTTGTTTTGCCATTCACTAATAGTTGGGATTTTAGATGATTTCCAGTTTTGTGCCAACAGTATTCTGGCTGCTGCCATTGCATACTGGAACATGGTTTGGTCTTCTTTCCTAATCTCCTCACCGATCATTCCCAGAAGGAATGCTTCTGGTTTTTTTGGAAATGTGTATTTCAGTATCTTTTTCATCTCGTCATAAATAGAACCCCAAAACCTCCTCACTTCATCACATGACCACCACATATGATGGAAGTCGCCCTCTTTTTTCTTACATTTCCAACATTTTTTGTCTCCAGTTTTATACATTTTTCCCAGCTTGACAGGAGTAATATGCCAGCGATACATCATTTTTTCCATATTTTCTCGGAGGCTAACGCATGCTGTAAATTTCATATCTTTTGTCCAGAGTTTCACCCATCTCTCATATTCTAAACTATATCCCAAATCTATGGCCCACTTTATCATGACCTCCTTCACCTCCTCGTCCTTAGTATCCCATTCCAGTAATTGATTGTACATTTTGGATAAAAGCTTACTTTTCCCTTCTAATATTTCCACCTGGAATTTTGATTTTTTCTCATTCATCCCTATTTTTTTGTGTTCATTCCATAGGGCATTAATTTGATGAACCTGTAGCCACCCTATTGACTTATCCTTTAGTTCTTCATACGATTTAATTCTCCACCCTTTATCCGATTTAGTCAGGAGATCTTCGTAAGTCCATCTTTGGGTTCTCATATTTATATTTATAAGTGATGAGATATTAACTGGCGATAGCCACCAAGGTATGCCCTTTTCCAACAGTCTTTTAGTTCTATTCCATACTTCTAGCAACGCTCCTCTGACAATATGGTGGGAGAATCCCTTATGCACCCTTTCTTTATCTTGCCATAAATAGGCGTGCCAGCCAAATCTAACATCAAATCCTTCCAGGTCCAACACATCTGAATTTTCCAGAACTATCCAGTCCTTAACCCAACATAGGCATGCAGCCTCATAATATAATTGCAAGTTCGGAACAGCAAACCCCCCTCTATCTCTCCTATCTGTGAGCAGTTTAAACTTAATTCTTGCTCTCTTCCCCTGCCAGATAAACCTGGACAGGGCTCTCTGCCATTCCTTAAACATTGTTGTTCCTCTAATTACTGGAATATTCTGAAATAGAAACAGTATTTTTGGAAGGATGTTCATTTTTATGGCCGCCATTCGTCCCTCCCAGGAGAGTGTTAATCTACTCCAAATGTCTAAATCTTTTTTAATCTCGCTCCAGGTTTTATTATAATTATTTTCCACTAAATTTATATTTTTTGTAGTTACCCAAATACCCAAATACTTCACCTTTTTCACTACCTTAATCCCTGTTTGTTGTTCTAATTGATTTCTTAGGTCTTCAGCCAAATTCTTTGTCATCATTTTTGTCTTAGCTTTATTTAACTTGAACCCAGATAACTTTCCAAACTCCTCAAGCAGTTCTAGGACTTTTTCCACACTTTTTGATGGTTCTTCTACTGATATTACTAAATCATCGGCATATGCCTTTAATTTATATTCTTTCGCTCCCAGTTTAATTCCTCTTATTTCCGGTGTTTCCCTTATTTTATTTGCAATTATCTCCAGTACCATGATGAACAAGAGGGGGGACAGAGGACACCCCTGTCTTGTACCTTTTGATATCATGAATGAATCTGTTAAGTTATTATTAATAATTAATTTCGCTCTTTGGCTCGAATAAATTGCTTTAATACCTACTAAAAAGGGCCCCTCTATCCCTACCCTTTCCATACACTTTACAAGGAAACACCAGGACACATTGTCGAAAGCTTTTTCAGCGTCAACAAATACCAGAGCTGCGGGAATTTCATTTTTAAGTTCTAAATATTCAATAATATTTATTATGTTTCTTATATTATCTTTCAACTGTCTGCCTGGCAAGAATCCGGCTTGGTCTTTATGGATTGATTTTATCAAGTATTTTTTCAATCTTTTTGCCATTATTTCAGCAAAAATTTTATAATCGTTATTGAGTAGTGATATCGGCCTATAATTTTTTACGTCAAATTTATCCGCATCCGGTTTTGGTATTAGGGTAATATGGGCCTCTCTCCACGAGTCCGGTATCCTCCCTCCCTGTAAGATGTTATTAAATACTTCACTTGATATTTTTAAGCATGGCTTGGATGGCCATCTGTCAGGGATTCTTTAACTGTGATTCCGGCAATGCAGGGGATTGGAATAGATGACCCTTGAGGTCGCTTCCAATTCTATAATTCTATGATTCTATGACTATGACAATATTTGTATTGAAGGCTGCCTACTGTAATTTACAGTTGAGAAGTATTACAATACTATATGTTAATGCAATCAGTATTGCCATTTGCCATTTATTTTAATTTGTTACACGTTAACACAATAAAGCACTCCTTTTTAAACTTTTCATTTAGACCTTTTCTGAACCACACCTCAACATGAGATTTTAATGATTTTCTCGATCTTAGTAAGATACTTACGTTTTTTTCTGTGCTCCACTAGACTGCTGGCCTGCTTTGCTGAACATTTTGCAAACCAGTTGTCTCCAAGAAGAACTGTGATCTCATTAGTGTGAACCAGTCTTCCTGGCATGAAAGCAAGGGGACCAAAAGGTACCTGTCAGAAGAACAAAGCAATGGTAAAGAAGATGAAAGGAAGTCTACCTTGTGCAATACTAAGAAACATCCAGTCCTGTATCTCATCAATGGCTAGTACGAGAGCTTGCTGGCAGTCTTAAAGCTTCAGGATACCAATTGGCAGTCATGGTATAATGTAAGATTTTAATTAATCAATGACAGTGTTAATTAATCCCTAGCTTTCATGACTGTCTAATTATTTTTCTATCCATGTTTTATCATTAGCTACCCTCATATCATTTGGCACCAAGATCCACAGCTCAACTGTACCACAAATGTAGAGTCTGCTCAAACTTAGAAAGTCAGGTCTAGGGAGCCAATCATGTTCAGACATAAGAGCATAGTTAAGAGCCTGCTGGATCAGGCCAGCTGCCCATTTAGTTCTGACCAACCAGATGCCCATGGGAAGCCCGAAAGCAGGAACTGAGTGCAATAGCACTCTCCATAATTGTGATTCCCCAAAACTGGCATTCAGAAGCATGATATCTCCAACAGTAGAAGTAAAACATAGCCAGGCATGTTTGAAGTTATAGGAGCATCTACTTAGCCAACAACCTTTTCCACGCGAGAAAGCTGGCACCTAGAAGAGACACTGGTTTCTCAGAAACTGGACATAAAATTAACTTTTAAATGGATTCATATGAGCAAACCGTTTAATGCAGATCTACCAACATCCAATGTACTGCTCCCTTGGAAGGTGGATGACAAGAGCAAGTCAGGAGTCAGGGGGTGGTTGGACTTGGTAGCAGCAAAGATTGGTCTGGGTCCTAACAATCACTCTTAAATCTTACAGGACAATAATGAAACTGACCAAGCAATCAGTGTGTGGTGGTGGGGACTCTTAGGGCCCTAATAACTTCCATTTATTTTATATTATCAAGCAAGCAAGTCTCAAGTTTCAGCTAATTTTGTAGTAAACGAGAACAAAAGTCTTTCCATGGAAACTTCTTTAATGCAACACAATTACAAGAGCTCATTATTGTTATTATTGTTGTTATTATTATTATTTAAATATAGCTTGCTTTTATGTTCTCAAATGAGTTGCACCATAAAACCAGGAAGTAAATTAAGGACACGTGATGTGTGCACATTGCTGAGTCAAGAAATTGACATTATCTTCTAATGTTCCATCCATTAGCATTTTAGTTATGAATCCTCAAGGTAGAGAATGTTATGTGTCATTACTAACATCTTGAGCTCTGTGATTACACTGAAATACTGAATTTGAAATCTTTGACAATTAGTCCAAATTCAAAAGCATACAGATCCCAACTAGAGTTAAAGTCCAACTGAGATATCCTAGGAACGGAAGGAACACGAAAATATCCCTTTTGGTTTCCATGAAACAAAAAACTAGCTTTTTATACAAATCAATACCCACAACTTAAAACTCAGGAAATACGATTGCTTGCTTGCTTCTCCACCTCACAGGAAATTAGTGTGTATTGCAGGTTTAATTATAGGTTTCAATAAAATAAACAGGCTCTATCAAACATGTTTGATTTTGTCTTAGTACGTCTGTCAAAAATTTGGAGATTATAATTTATTATAGATTTCAAGAAACAAGACAGGAATAGGAAAACATACATTTAAACACTGTCTATAATCAATCATTGCTAACTACAATACCTTCATTACTGTATTTATTTATTTATTAAACAGATCCTGCACCTTCCACAAAAGGAGCCCAGGGCAGCAAACATGTCAATACTAAAACAATTCCATTAAAACTTTTTAAAATACTTTAAAACCTTCTAAAAAACAGTTTAAAAACTCCTAAAAGCAATCACATACTCCCAAATTAATAATTTCAGGGTGAACAGGGTAAACTTTCAACCATCAAATGTATATGTAGACAGGAATGTTTTCAAATTTCTTCTAAAAGTTAATAGGGAGGGAGACTGGAGATTGACACACCTCACTAGGGAGGGCATTCCCTGTCACAGTTCTTCACCAACTGAACAATGCCTTGCCTAATTGGTCCCCCACCTTTGCAAGGGTTGGAATGGTCAGTCAGAGCCAATCCAAAGCAAGTGCAAATAGCTCTAGCACAGATATGATGTTCCAAATCTAACAACCTTTAGATGGTCACAAGCACTTCATGGGCTAATTGAATCCTTCTTGGAGCTAAGTGTTTAAATTATGTCTGCACCAGTGTTAACATTATACATCATTAGCTTAAACCATTGTCTGCAAACCCTAACCAGGGTTGCATTGTACCAGGGTTGCCTATGGAAAGGGAAAGTGTGTGAAAAGGAGAAGGAAAAAAGCAGTGTACAAACCACAGGACAACTCCTGGTTAGCAGTTTGTGCAATGCTATCTGCAGTGGGCCATAATAAAAAGGGCTGCCTATAATTCCACTGAACTAAATAGTACCTACCATGATATCATAAGAGAGTCTGTCAGGCAATGTGCCAAGTCGTTCCTGAAGAGCTTCATAGTCACTCTCCACCTTCTTCCTGTTGGCAGAATTCAAACCATGTTACTTTCAAGAACAAGGTACATAAGTTTGCAAATTACTTTTCACTTGGGGTTTGAATATAAAAGCAGAGAGAGAAATTGCCATGGTTCAGAGAATGCAAAAATGGACCCTGTTGTGAATACTTTCAAGGCATTACTAAATTCCCTATTGTAAAATGGGTGTGTGAAAATAATGTGAACAATACCACAAATGTACATTGTCCATGCAGGGAAAATGATTCTTAGAAGACAGCTATCTTAAATATGGAAGCGTAAGACCAAGTTCTATTGGGCTGCAATCCTATACCCATTTACCTGGGCATAAACCCTACTGAATTCAATAGGACTTACTTCTGAGTAGAAGTATATATATATATCTCGAGACAGAAGACTTGTCGTTTGTGATTTGGGACTCATTTCTTAAGGATGGCATATCTGGCTGTTTTGGAGGTTTGATGTTTAAATCAATAGAATTACAAATGAATTTTAAAGGGGTTTGTGCAGGGAAGAGATAAAAGGTCTTCATTCTGTGCAACTGTTCTCTTTGCCTGGCATGATCACAACACAGTCTGCAAGGCAGTAAGAGACAACAACTGCAGTGAAAAGATGATGCTTAGCCCATTCAGCTAAAACCATTTACCTTGAGCCACAGCTTTGTGGATGGGTGCTGGGCACAGTGCCTATCAGGTCAATAGATTCTTTACTCTATACTCGTGCTTCCCTACTTATAAATATTTTAAACAAATAAAATAAAGTGACCACCTAGGTTACTAGTCTGAGGGAAGAAACAGGCAGATCATGATAAGGCCTTAACCAACACAACACAGAATCAGACATTCCCAGGAAATCAGATCTGTGACACTCCATCTGCAAAACTATGGGTACATTATTACAAAACTTAGAACTGAATACCTGAAAGGGATGGGAGTGGTAAGTTGCACAAAAGCCACAGTAACAGTGCTGTGCCTGCATGTGTGAGCAAGGCCCCCTTACCATATAGAGGAATATGTGGGGACCTTTAAAACTGTTGTTTTGAAAGTGCTTTTCAAAATATTTTATAGTGATATTTTATCCTGAGAATGTTTCTGGCTGTGTATGTCAAAATATTTGCAAAACTTATCTACCGTCCACTTTCTTGTGCATTTTGGTTGCCTGTTTGCATCCACTGTTGCCATGATCCACTACTGTTCTGAGTGAGAGATAGAGACCAGGGACTAAATCTCCTTCGCCCAAGCAAACATGGTGATGCCCCTGCCTTGCCACTTTACACTGGCAATTCCACTCCCTGATAGCACTGCATGGCAAGACTTTCATCCTATATAACTCATTTCATGCAGCTATGCATAACCAGTTGGTGCAGCATAGGGATGCACATTCAGATGAGCACCCAATTTTAGAAAGGAGCAGAGGAAACTGATTTATGGAAGACCACTCTATTGGTCCATCTAGCTCAGCTCTGTCAATTCTGAATGGATGTGACTCTTTCAGAGTCTCAAGCAGAGATCTTTTTATTTTATAGTGGGCACCACTATAATATCCATTTTATTGGAAAATAATGTGGTTTCTGAATTTTAAACATTAGCAAAGCATAATAGTTTTAGACCATTTTCTACAAACCAATAGTCACAATTTAATATGATGAGGTGTAAAGATGGCCTTGATTCCCCTTTCCCCCCATTCTTCTTAACCATGGCTTGCAACTTATGTGCATTTAAACTATTTTTAAAAACCCAAACATTTTATTACACACACGAACTATAAATTATTTGCTCAGAGGTCTTTCGGGCATGAAGAAAAAGCCTCTTAAAATAAATTTAAAATATTATATGCTTGATGGTGTATAACCAAAGTTTAATCTCTCCACTAAAAGGGGCAGTTGCTGTGATTTTGCAATAACCCTGCAGACAATAATCAAGAAGGCTCCTGTTGTTCTCTCCGTAAAATCCTGGTAAACGCAGCATGGATGTAGCATAATTTGGTATCTGTTAAGATCAAGTGTTATCTCTCTATAACTCATACAAAATCGTTCACCATTAAATATACCTTTTCCTGTCAGATACTCATATGAAACTTTCATTTACCCAAGATGGTTCCTATTAACTAAAAAAGCATCACATTAAATGAGCAACAAAGACAGGCCAGGGATAATATTTTAAGGGATAATAATCTCTCTGAAGTCTCACATTTACCTAAGGCTTTAAACTAATATATTTTCATTGCAATTGGATAAAATGGGAAAAGGCCATTATCTATCTTGAAGCCAATGGACCCCTTTATAAATTGCAGACCTGATTTTTCAAAGTTCTTCTTATCCACACGTTTTGGATACTTCCCAAGACCATTTCAGTGCCCAAACACACTGCATTTTACTGTCACTTTAGCTTTCTTGGAACAGAAACAAAAATATAGAGTTGTGCTTTGTAGATTTATAGACTTAAGCCTTTCTATATGATTACTCTGGGTAGGGAAAGGCGGAATTAGTGTGTGTCTTTTTAAAGAGACATGCAGATTTAAAGTATTTTTATATAGTGCATTAGAGCATCACAGAAATGCAGAGGGTGCATTTCAATAAGCCAGGACAAGATCAAAATTATGTACCAAAATATAGCATTATTTGAATTTGGTCAATTTTCCAAAGACTATACGCATTGCACTTTTCTAAAGACACACGCAGAGTATTTTATTGGTATTTTAGGCATGCAAGCAAACATTTTTCACTTACCAGTGCTGAATTTTTTCTTGGCAGCTAGTGACCACCTGTCATTAAAACAGATAACTGCTCATGAAAAAACAAGGCTAAGCACACAGCTGCAAACTCAATGTTTCAGAAACTAGAGCAGACGCTTTACAGATCTGGTGGCGTCTCACTATACATTTTTATTTGTCAGCGCAAAGGCGCGCGAACGTTCGTTCTTAAGCAGCCCACTTTATCACAATGCTCTAATCCAAACTGATAACCATAGAATAAATTACACCTTCCCCAACTCATATTTTGATACAATGCATGCTCCATAACGACGAGATGACACATGATACAAGATAAAACCAGTATTTTGTACAATCTACACATCTGTTTTCAATGTTACATGCTTTGCAGAATAAAGCAAATATAATTTATAAGAGGAGTGCATGTTTGCTGTTTGTTTAAAACAGAATCACCCATAAAAACATTTTTCTTCATTAATACAACTCTAAACTGTAATCTGACCTTCAGTTTCACCCTGGTGCAATAAACATCTGATTAATCATATAAAAAAACAATGTGAACTTTGATTACAATTTGAGAAACATAATATATACACATACACAAAAGTGAATATTATAACATCCATCAATTTACAGACTTCTGGGAAGAGGAATATTATTTAATCCAAAATACATTAGAAGACCAGGTTCTTGTCACTATTTAAACAATAAAAAACCCCCACAAAACACATGAAAGTTTTAGATCCCACTATTTACACTACCAACATTTTAAAGCATTCAAATATGATAAACACATTCTGGGCTTTGAACACTAATAATAAATAATAATAGTAATGACAATACCCGAGTTCAAAACTCCCTCATAGTGACAAAGGAATCTATTCATATATACAAGGTATGGGAGGAGAGGGTTTTACCATTCCCTTTATTGTATCTTGGAGGTATAATGTATATATAAGAGCTGTTCCAGTTGTTCTCAAGATAGTGGGACACATTTGTGGAAGGAGAGAAGAGTGTTTCTGGTATTCATCAAGCTAAATGCACACACAAAACCATACTTAAATTGTTAACAGTGTAAAGCTGCATTGCCTCTGAATAGTTTACAAAACAATGTGAACACAGGAGATGGAGTTACGATCCTTGTTGGTCAGTGAGTCATTATCTAATACAGGGGTTGCCAATGTAGTAACCTCCAGGTGTTTTGGACAACAACCCCCATCAGGTCCAGCCAGCAAGGCCAATGGTCAGGGATGATGGGAGTTGTAGTCCATAACATCTGGAGGACACCACATTGACTACCCCAATCTAATAAATGCCTGTCTCACATAATGGTGACAGCAGCACTTTCTCAAGTACAAAATATTATATCATATGCTCCTGGGAAATGAGCTATCTACAAAACATAAATACAACATTGAAGGAAGTTGGTAAGACTATACGCAACATATGAGAAACAATAGGTAATCAGTTGTGCTGAAAGGTCTTTGGCCCCTTAAAATGTATGCATGCATCTAAAGACGCAATCAGGAATCGGACCACGACATGTAAGCAAGGGGCTTTACTCTTCCCCGGCCCCACCCCCACACGGCAGCCCCCATAAAAATAATTTTCCCCATCTCCCAAACTGCTACAGTCAAACCTCGGTTCTCGAACGGCTCTGTTTTCAAACATTTCAGTTCCTGAACGCCAAAAACGCAGAAGTAAATGCTCTGGTTTTCGAACGTTTTTTGGAACCTGAACATCCAACGCAGCTTCCATTTTTAGTTTCCCTATTGAATTGAGGCTTCCGCTTTCAGTTTTCGGAAGTTGAATGGTATTCCAGAACGTTTTATGTTTGAAAACCGATGTCCCACTGTATTTTCACCCAGAGGGAAGTTACAGATTCAAATACAGTGGTACCTCGCAAGACGAATGCCTCGCAAGACAAAAAACTCGCAAGACGAAAGGGTTTTTGGTTTTTTGAGTTGCTTTGCAAGACGAATTTCCCTATGGGCTTGCTTTGCAAGACGAAAACATCTTGCAAGTTTGTTTCCTTTTTCTTAAAACCGTTAATACCCAGGGTGCATTGCTTGAAGAGGTGCAGTTACATGCGGTGTGGTAGCCTTTTTTGAGGTTTTTGAAGACTTTGGTGATTTTTGAAGCTTTTCCAAAACTTCTTTTGAAACCGTGCTTCGCAAGACGAAAAATTCGCAAGACGAAAAAACTCACAGAACGAATTAATTTCGTCTTGCGAGGCACCACTGTAGCTCCCTCAACTATTGTCTGTTAGGAACTGCAGGTGACACTTCTGAACATGGCCAGGGACTCTTCAGCACTCTGAATCTCCTTCTTTCCATCGCAGTTCTTGTACCTCCACTGCCAAAATGCTTCTTCATAAGGTAAGAAATGCTCCAGTAGCCAAAGCAATAAAAAGAAGGTATATTCAGTAGAGGTAGTACAGAGTGTCCCAGCTAGGGAGCAGAAGGGTTTGCATATATGCAAATAGCTCTATGGACCACAGACTGTATATCAGAAGCAAACATATACCAATTTTACTCTGAGGATTGTGAAACCTCTGCATGTAGAAGGAACTTAATAAAGTAACTCATACTTATTTCCAATTTGAATATAGGGTTTCACAAATCATCTTTACAAATATTTGTTTCTCATGTACCCACAAACAAGCTAACATGTGAAAGCAACTACTGGGAACATTTGCCAGAAAAATAATGTTTTATCTTCAATGTTCCATGAAAGCACAGGTGCAGATGGTTTCTTTGTAAAGAGGGACTGATGGGGCTTGGCAAAACTATGAAGATTTGGCTTATATTCAGATACTCCAAGGTAGACTGTAGACTCAGCCTGAGTGAAGTTTGCACAATCCACTTAAAAATGTAAAGCAATATTACTTTCATAAAATCCCATCAATTTGTTGTAAACTTGTCATTTTTGTACATGAAGAGGCAGAAAGAATCATCCTATTCTATGCCATACACTATAAAAATCGTGTATCTGAAAACAAATGTAGCTGACATAGATGTGTTCTACTGTATTTAATTTCCCCCCTTCTAAAATCAGAGTTCCTTAATAGATTTTTTGGAAAAGAATGAGGCAACTATTCATTACTTCCAGCAGAATAAATCAAAATAAGAATTTAATGTCCTCAGATAAGAGCTGTTGTAGCTCATTGGTTGGTCTAGCATTGTTGCCAAGATAATAAACCACAATCTAGGAGGTTGCTGGTTCAAATCTTGCCTCAGTTGCAAGCCACTGACTCAATTTCAGACACCCTGTAAATGGATTTTAGGTTTATGCATTTCCTCCTCTCTCTCTTTTAGTGATTCACCATAACTTCTTCCATATAGTCAACCACAATATCGAAACTACGCAAACAATGGTTACCACAAACCATAGTTTGTCATAGCCAGTGTGGTTTCAGATTTGGATGGGGGAGAACTAGGGCGAACAACACTTACGGCAAACTAAATTCAGAATCAGGAAGTAAGTGCATGAAGAAATCAGAAAGTAGGTAGCATACAAACCCAGGTTTGAGAAATACTGATGCCACTGACTGGCAGTGGCTCTGCAGGGATTCAGGCAGGAGTCTCTCGCAGCCTCACCTGGAGATGCCATTGGGGACTGAGCCCGGGACATTCTGCATGCAGGATGGAAGCTCTGCTAGTGAGCTGTGGCCCTTCCTCCCTACCCTGCCTGCTCCTCCTCTTCCTCCCACTACACTGAATCAGCTCAGCCACATGGGAGCACACAGTAATGTTTTCTTGCTAGAGTGGCTTTTTCTTGCTAGAGTGGTGATTTCAACTAAATATCAGGAAGAACTTTCTGACAGTAAGAGCTTCTTTGACAATGGAAGAGACTCTCAGAAGAGGTGGTGGACTCTCCTTCCTAGGAGGGTTTTAAACGGAGGTTGGATGGCCATCTGTCATGTATGATTCCTGCACTGCAGGGGGTTCGACTAGATAACCCTCGGGGTTCTTTCAAACTCTACAATTCTATGATTCTATGAAACTCAAAGTATATTCACAGCATGAATGAACTGGCTGATTTCTCGGCATTATGTGGGTGGTAACACTGGCCTACCTTACAGGACTGTAATAAGGATTATTAGAATAATATGCTACATAAATACTGCCATTACTACTGCTACTGTTATGGGCTGTATAATGAAAAGGTTTCGGATGTTGGCATTGAACAACACTAAAAATGTTTATGAAACCTTTTAAGAAAGTTCCAGCTCAAGTGCCCCACTTCCAGAAAGGGAAACAGGAAGCTTTCCATTCCCAATGCATGACTTTCCAAGCATGAAGTGAGCTAAAGGCACAAAAGCAAAAGCCCTGCAAACCGTGAAGTGCAGCGTGTTCATTAACCTCTACATGATAATCCTTTCGTAGCTGCATATTAACTAGTTACATATTCATAATCATTTACATTATTTAGAAGACCTTCTATGAAAATTTCCAGGCGATATCCATTAGCTACAATGTTAAAGGTTACTCAAGATAGTCTGCTTAATGTTTCCAGGAAGCTTTTTTTAATTAGTAAATATGTAAATTGGAAGCATATGCTTTTTTTTGCTTTTTTTTAGTATTTTTTTTCCTTGGAAGAAAAAATGGGCCATCAGTAGAAAGGCACATGGACATATGCTGTTTTCATCAACCCTTAGCCCCTTAAGACAAAAATCAATAACACCAATCTATTTTAAATTTCATATTCTTCCTTTTGATATTTCCCATAAAGGGATATGGAAGAGCAGTCGGAAGAAAAATATGCCCCAGCCCCATCATAGGAGGTTGTCTTTCTACCAAGACAGAAGAATGGTTCATCTAGGTCAGTGACAGATTGGTGGTGGCTCTCCAGACAGGACTCCTTCCCAGTGCAAAAAAAAAAAAAAGGCTGTTTCAGGTTTCATCATCTATACACAATACAGTCTAATTACATACACATTTTCTGTGATGCATATCCCACTGAATTCAGTAGGGCCTACTCCTAGATACTCCTAGATAATTATTCATAGGACTTGCAGCTTTGGGCATATTTAGTGCCTTAACACTATC